CAAAACTTAATCCTAACCCTCACCTTAACCTCAACCCAAAACCTAATCCTAATCCTCACCCTGGCCCTAATCCTAACCCTAATCCTTAACCTCAACCCAAAACCTAATCCTAACCCTCACTCCGGCCCTAATCCTAACCCTAATCCTTAACCTGAACCCAAAACCTAATCCTAATCCTCACCCGGGCCCTAATCCTAACCCTAATCCTTTACCTCAACCCAAAACCTAATCCTAATCCTCACCCTGGCCCTAATCTTAACCCGAACCTTAACCTGAACCCAAAACCTAATCCTAATCCTCACCCCGGCCCTAATCCTAACCCTAATCCTTTACCTCAACCCAAAACCTAATCCTAATCCTCACACTGGCCCTAATCTTAACCCGAACCTTAACCTGAACCCAAAAGCTAATCCTAATCCTCACCCCGGCCCTAATCCTAACCCTAATCCTTAACCTCAACCCAAAAACTAATCCTAACCCTCACCCCGGCCCTAATCCTAACCCTGACTTTAACCTCAACCCAAAACCTAATCCAAACCCTCACCCTGGCCCTAATCCTAACCCTAATTCTTAACCTCAACCCAAAACCTAATCTAAACCCTCGCCCCGGCCCTAATCCTAACCCTGACTTTAACCTCAACCCAAAACCTAATCCAAACCCTCACCCTGGCCCTAATCCTAACCCTAATTCTTAACCTCAACCCAAAACCTAATCTAAACCCTCGCCCCGGCCCTAATCCTAACCCTAATTCTTAACCTTAACCCAAAACCTAATCTAAACCCTCGCCCCGGCCCTAATCCTAATCCTAATTCTTAACCAAAACCCAAAACCTAATCCTAACCCTCACCCTGGCCCTAATCCTAATCCTAATTCTTAACCAAAACCCAAAACCTAATCCTAACACTCACCCCGGCCCTAATCCTAACCCGAACCTTAACCTCAACCCAAAAACTAATCCTAACCCTCACCCTGTCCCTAATCCTAACCCTAATTCTTAACCTCAACCCAAAACCTAATCTAAACCCTCGCCCTGTCCCTAATCCTAACCCTAATTCTTAACCTTAACCCAAAACCTAATCTAAACCCTCGCCCCGGCCCTAATCCTAACCCTAATTCTTAACCTTAACCCAAAACCTAATCCTAACCCTGACCCTGGCCCTAATCCTAATCCTAACCCTCATATGTTTTTGACGTCACTGAGAGTCTGTTTCAGTGTAAAAGAGCCATATAAAATAAAGTGTCATCCCAGAATCTAATGATAATACACTGTTACATGTTTTCAACAGGATTTCCTCAGACAGGCAACTCAAACTCAATGTTTTATCACATCCAGTCTGAGCAGGACAGATTTTCATCAGTCAGAACAGCAGAAACTCACATTATCTGACTTTTTCTAGTCAGATTCAAGACACTAGATCTTTGGGAATGTGACTCTGTTTAACCAGTCAGATTGGATTTCATGTTTTTTGGCCGTGCAGTGCACAGTGCCTTTGCCTGCCCCACCTTGGTTGCTATGACAGCCACATGTGAGCAAATGCAACTACATACGTTTAAATATATCGCTGTTGTTGGAAGAAAACCTTGCATCTCCAAAATGGTAACTTTACAGGAGAAGGAAAAAACATACTTTACTTTTAATGTAAGTCAATGGAACCAGACTTGTTTCCAAGTAATTTTTGGTCATTTCTTTTGGTCCATTCATCATGAAATTTACACACAATGTAAAGAACAACAGGCATTTTCAAATTGTCAAAAACTGAAAAATGACAAAAATGGAGATACGAAGTATATACGATACCAATATAAAAAAGACTTGTATCTTGTAATGTTGACGCTCAGCTTAAATTTGAATAAGCCATCTGATTTGTCCTGCCGTTTTATTCTAAAGAGGCAAAAACTGTTCCACCCTGCTGCTGAATTCATTACAATTCTGACACTTACGTCTACTTGTACCTCCACCCCCCCCATGTGTGTCTACAGAGCTCATCAAAAATCTCCACCCTTTTAAAATCCATCTTCATCATCATTATCTTCTCCTCCTACATTTAACTAACCCCACTGCCTCAGATCATTAAAAATAACGAGCTGTAACCTAAAAATGCATAAGACACTCTCCTCCAAAGATTTGCATGTGTTTTACATTCTCATTTGCATAGCATAGGGTCAAGGGCAACCCCGACATCCACAGGTGTCCTGAGTTATCACTCACACTGTTCACGTTAGTGAGCCAGAGCCTTTTAACCGCAGGCAGCATCAGAAAACATATCAGTGAAAAACTCTATCTTCAACACTCTTGCTTGGACGCTACGGAAATGTATTGGCCTAGGGCAGCGGTGTCGAACTCAACCAGTAAAAGGGCCATATTAAAAAATCTCTTCAAATCTGTGGGCCAGAGAAAAGAATGTTTTTATTTTTATTGTTAATTGATGTTGTGCTATAACCAAACTGGCCATTGTTTATTCAAAACACACAAAAACTTCAACTGTAAAACACAGACTCTCGTAGTAAACCATGAGATATTACATGGACACTCGAAATACTCGAATATTAAATGTTCCCAGGAGCTCAGTCTTTTAAAACTACCTATTTGCTTGAATTAGACACCTGACATCCTTCCTTTGCTGCAAGTTTATTAAGACTTGGGCTCAGTTTCTGAGCTGCTGAGCTGACGTTCAGTGTTTATATTGGTTGAACTGCAGCTGAAATGCATTTTTTGTGATATGACTGGTGTAGAATTGTGTAGAATTGAGGTGTAATCGCTGTCCCATAGATTGCTGTTGGGGTAGGAGAGTTGGAGCACATTACGTTGCAGTGCATGCTGGGGACTGTAGTGCAGCGCATTGTGAAACGAGCTAATAGAAAATTAAAATACTTTAAAAGGATTGTGCGGCGGGCCTGATCTGACTCAGGGGCCTTGTGTTTGACACATGGGGCCTCGAGGCTGCATACAGAAAAGCTATAAGATTAGCCCAGTGGCTAAAACCTACTGTGTCCCTTCGGTCATTTCCGCAGCTGCAAGCTATGATAACCAAACTGACCCAAGTTGGCACATTAATCTGCCCTTAGATAGGCTATCTATCACAGCTAACATGCTAATAGGATCAGGAGCTAAGATGCCGCCCAGCTGAGGGATGATCTGGGGTAGACTTCAGCCTAGTGCAACAGATCAGAGACCACCACGGAGAAATCCCATTTCACACCGCCATCTCCCCCCGTAGTCACACTCTGAGTCACAGTCTGGCTGTATTCAGCCCTGGTGGAAGACGTCAGGTGGGGAGAGTGATGGAAGTCAGCTGGCTCTGAAGTCTGAAGAGTCTTTTCATGACTCATAATCTAGTGTATGTGCTCAGACTGCCATGAAGGACTATGAGCCAAAATAAGGAGGTGTTTGATAAGAGAAAATGATCTAAGATAGGCCTGTTATGGTCTACAGAATACAAACAAAAGATAACCAGACTCACTCTCTGACTTTCTAAAACACGTTCGGCCTGGTTTCTACAGACCTCATTTCACCTGCCTCACAAGCCATAATGTGTGTATATCTGTACACTTGTATGTATATAGATCAGTGGTGGACAAAGTACACAAATCATGTACTTGAGTTAAAGTAGAGATACCCAAGGCAAAATATTACTCCAGTAAAAGTAGAAGTTCCTCCCTTTAGACCTCCACTTGAGTAAAAGTACAAAAGTATTTGCCTTTAAATGTACTTAAGTATCAAAAGTGAAAGTACTAAAAGATTAATTATGGCTCTGATGTCTTATTATCATTTTTGTAACAAGACTCGCTTCATTAACTCATTTTAGGTGAAAATACTCCAGTGTCTCTTTTGTAGCACCGATATTTTAATAGAATGTCATTAATTAGTGACGCTGATGTTTATTAAAATTATCATAAGCACAAAACACTGAAGGCAAACAGTTTCCATCAGGTAGAACTGAGTGGCTCTGAAATCACTTTTTGCAAACAAGCAAAGTTTCAGTTTAAGATTTATTTGCAACTTAGTTACAAGTTTAAGTTTAATAAAAACTTTAAACTCAGATTCACAAATGAGTTTCCTTTACTAAACTGCATCTGTAGGTCTCTGTTCATAAACATAAACTAGCCAAAACTAATTTACTATAAAATGAAATATTGTTTGTATAAATTCAGAAAAAAGACACGTCAGTCACAACTGCATATGAGTACATATTTCTATATTGTGGTCTGTTTACATAAAGTTAGGTTAGTTCATCATTTATGTTGAATAGACTCTCCCAAAATTTTACGCTGCTGCACTGACGTTGAACCGTGTGCTGCACTGGGTCGGTATGACCAACAGGTCAAAACAAGCTCAAAACAAAGTGCGCTGTGCCCTGATTGGTGTTCTTGCTTTGCGCTTCTTTCATTTTGAAGTTATGTTTTTATACACACAAAAACCAAAAGGAACGACAGATTTCTCATAATGTAGTGGAGTAAAAAGTGAGATATTTGACTTTGAAATGTAGTGGAGTGAAAGTAAAAAGTCGCCCAAAATGGAAAAACTTCAGTAAAGTACAGATACATGAAAAATACTTCATTACTGTCTACCACTGGTATAGATCTATGTAATGTGCACAAAAAAAAAAATCATGCACAAACAGTTATGCCATGTTTACGTTTGAGTCACGTATTCCACACCTTAATATAATACACACATGTTCACATTGTGTGTGAACTCACAACTACCCACAGGTGAAGGGGAACTGCACATGACTGCTGACTGTGGGTTAAGCAAAAGATTCATTCCTGGTCAAATTGCATGTTTTGTTGATTTAAGTGAAAATAAGGCAACATAGGAAACAAACGTCTGCACATTTTATTGCCCAATTACTGTTTATCTGCTAAACATAACAGTGAAAAATTTACTCAGTGAATAAATAAGAACTGTGCAGTACAATGTGCACAAAAAGCACATGTAAATCTGTTCCCTGAGGATTCACACACATTACACTCCCTCTGATACCCTCCTTTCCCTCACCTGCTGCCTTGGCTCATCTTCTCCAGACTGTCTTCTCTCCCTTTAGCCGATGGCACCTCCCTCCCGATCTCCAGGTCCTGAGAGGTAGCTAAGACTGGTGAAACCATTTTGGGCAGGGGGGTGTTCCTGCCTTCCCCTAAGCCTGCTCCAGCCCCAGGCCTCACGGGCCGCCCGTGGCCCTTCAGCTCGGCCTCCGAGCTCTTCTTAATGGCCTGGAGCTGGGCCAGGGGCACGATGTCGCAGTCCTGTGGCCGGTGCCACACTGTCTGCTGGCTGGTGGAGTTGTAGTAGTAGAAGCGGTTGTTGTTGCTGTCAAACAGCTCCCACCACTGGTTGCCGTCGGCCTGGCGAACGGGCACTCCCAGCGGCGGCTCCCAGCCACACTCGCCCGTCAGCAGGTTGACATACATGCGCTCCCGCGAGCGCGGCTCCACGATCTCCACCCAGTCAGACCTGCACAGGGAAACACAAGGGAAATGTAGTCCGGAAGTCTGAAAGATGCACTAGGTCAGTGGTTCACCACTTAGAAGTCTGTAACAAAAGTATGTTGTATGGATATGATCAGTGTTGGGATAGTTATTTAAAAAAGTAACCCGTTACCGATCACTCATTACTTAAGTAAAATTAATGGGATTACTTTACTCATTACTTTCTGGAAAATGTAGTCTCAAACCTCAGTACTTTACTTTTAAGTTACATTCTAAAACCCATACAAAATATACTGAAATCAAATCTACAAACATCTGGAAAGTAGAAAAATGACACAACAGTTCTTTTTACAGTTTATTTAGAACAAAACATAGCAGTAATGGCAACGTTAAACATGTATAAAATGAATTTCACTTCACATATAGTGTGTACACAAATTAGCAGAAAACAGCTTGGGAAATGCTTTATTTACATTTACGGCATTTGGCAGATGCTCTTATCCACAGCAACTTACAGTGTGGTCATTATTTAACACAGGTAGGTGAAGGTAGTGTTAGGAGTCTTGCCCAAGGACTCTTATTGGTATAGTGTAGGGTGCTCACCCAGCTGGGGAATTGAACCCCATTAGGAGACCCATCCACCTCTTTTACAGATGGCCAACAGCATGCAATGTAGGAGTCTATTAACAGCTAAGGAGCACAATAACAGCTAAAGTCTTCAAAATGATTAAATGATTGCTGAAAATAATCATCTCTGAAACAGCTTGCCAACAAAAAAGTAGCTGGCAAATAAACACAGCAGGGGGGCGTGCCATGTAGTAATGGTCCATAGTGCCACTATAGATGTTTTCCACAACCACAACTGTGATCAAAAATCTACTCGGACTCTCAAACGCTGACAGGTTTCTGTTCCACTGAAAGCGGCTGTGAACAGCACCAACTTTAACCCATTCGTGCAGTGAAACACCACATACACACTAGTGAACACACACACTAGGGGGCAGTGAGCACAGCGCCCGGGGAGCAGTTGGGGGTTAGGTGCCTTGCTTAAGGACACCTCAGTCACGTACGGTTGGCTCAGGGGATCGAACTGGCAACCTTCTGGTCACAGGGCTGGTTCACTAACCTCCAGCCCACCACTGCCCCAAAAAGGAAGCAAATTATTAAGTCAAAGTCGCAAAAAGCTACTCGCTGTGCAAGTCTGCACTGCAGAACTGCTCAAAGTGACCAATTCTACTAAAATTATTGTCATTTCTCAGAAAACTTTGCTGACAAATGCAAGTCTGACTGGGCTTTAAGCAGCCATTTGAAAAGAAGCAGGGCTGCTTCATGTGCCTCAGCGGAAGCACATGCTAGCCTTTACCCTCCCAGCTTAGCAGCATCATGTGATAAGAGCAGACTTAGCCAATGGGAGGAAATGACTACAACTAAACTGGCGGAACAAGCAGGAAAAAAATCCCATTCATTTAATTTTGCACAAAAAATTTTAGATTATTATAATAGACTTTACATTATTATAATAGAATCGTTTCTTCCATCCAAAGTTGATTCAGCGCATTTTATAACTCTAGTAAGAAGACGTAAACGAATGTAGACAAACCCTTTCCCACAGCCCGTTTCTGTACAGTGCTGTGAAAGCGCTCTCTTGCGTACTAGCCTGGTTGAGCTCCAGGAGCAAGAACGAAGGCTGGGCATCGGGCCCAGGGAACAGAGCCTGGAAGTGGCTCCAGAGACCGGCCTCTGGCCTGAGATCCACACCTCTAATCTCCCCTCACCAAGAGGCACAACAAAGGATCTGCAGCTTAAGATTAAGAGACCCATCCACCTCTTTTACAGATGGCCAACAGCATGCAGAGCCATACGCTCTCACTTACACACAATAGGGGTGTAAATCTCTGACCTCAGTGATTCGATTACTCTTTAGGAAATTATTTAGTGCAGCAGGAAATGTCAAATTTGACCACAATGCAGTACAACTAGGTTATGTTGATGCAATTCAGAATTATTAAAAATAAATAAGACACTGAATTTACAAACGTGACCGGAAGATTTATTTACACAGTGAATTACCGACAATAAAAACAATACATTTTGGGGGATTTTACATTTGGAAACAGACTGGAAAGTTTATTAACAAATGTATTAAAATGGATTCTAATCAATTCTAACATGTGTCTGAATTGTCACCTTCAGGCTGCTGCATCTTTAAGCAATGATGCATTTTCGCCAATAAACACACCCACACACTATCAGTCTCCCAGTTCTCAGATATGACGTAATATGACGGGATATGATGTTACATGGTCTGACCAAGTGGCTTCCAAAAAAAATAACGCGGCACCACAAGCCAGACACAAAAATTAGACTCGCTTAACCCTCTATTGCACAATGTTGCCTCAGGGCAACAAACTCATTTTCTTCACTTTGCAATAACGTTATACATATTTAAAGACAACAATAAGGTTAATAATAAAGGGCATAGTTTGAGTAAGTTAATAAAAACGTGTACTTAGTCATACTGTCTCTTTGTGGGCATTCAGTATCAATTTTTTTTTAATTTGCAGAAATATGTTTGTTGCCTAGAAGCAACATTGTGCGACAGTGGAACGGAATTAACCAGTCACAACCAGATCTCACCACTTAAGGGAAAACGGCTCTATATCATTTCTTCTCATTGATGCACAATGTTGCTTCAAGGCAACAAACTCCCAAAAGACCGCTGCACACATTTTTAAAATGTATTTGAAATTAATAAACAAGCCCATTTTATGCACGAAAACAAAATTTTGCAGCAGAGGGTTAAGATCCTTAGCCCCACTGGAAACAGCATGTTTCGCCTTATGGTAGCCATCTAAACAAGTTACCCTCCTATTGTTCCTCAGGGCCCTCTCCCAGACACAGTTTTGCTCCAACCTAACTCGCAATACATAGAGATAGAGGAAAAATGTGGACCGTATGAGGGGCTCTGAGGACCGGATGGTGAACTACTGCTCTAAAGTCCCTAATCTGACACATCTGACCACAGTCTGGCCTGCTGGCTCTGGGGAGTAACCCAGTGCCCCTTTAGGAGTGATCGTTTGGGGTTTCCTGCACTGTGATGCCTTTGGGGAGCTCAGGATTCAACAGTTCAAAAGTTCAACCACGTCTAAAAACAAAACACACACCTGTTCATGTCTTCTGTGTCGCTCTCACTCAGGAAAACACACACACACACACACACACACACACACACACACACACACACACACACACACACACACTTTGGCCAAATGGAGGATATAGCAGAACAACACCTGCTGAAATCAGTCAATTCAAACATTTCTTTCTCTTCTTTCTCTTAAAGTTGCAACAATAATTCTTTGTTGAAATTGAAAGAAATAAACATGATAAAAACATGATAAAATATGGTGAGTGTGTGCTGTCGCGAGTCACCCTGTAAAGCCTGAAATAGTCATTTAAAGACAGAGCTCGTGGGACTTTTTCGGGCCACGTCTCAAACGCAAAATCAACATTACGTTGATGAAGATATGATGACGATGGTAGATAACTCTAATTGTTACATACAATTACACATTTCCACCAGAGAGGTCTCCAAAAACAGTCCCAAAGCTTATACATTGCAGGTTTATCATATATATCTCACTGCTGTCGGAAGAAAACCTATCCGTTTTGGTCGTTTTTCAGTTTTTGACATAATTTGAAAATGCATTTTACCCTTTACATTGTGTGTAAATTTCAAGATGAATGGACCAAAAGAAATGACCCAAAATGTCTGGTTCCATTGACTTACATTCAAAGTAAAGTAGGTTTTTCCTTCTCCTGTAAAGTTACTATTTTGGAGATACGAGGTTTTCTTCCAACATCAGCGACATATAGTTCACAATCTCTTATCTTCTCCCTCTTCTCTTTATGTACGGTTCTTCACTCTCTCTTACTTTCAGTATTGGATACAGACCACCATCTCTCCTTTCCTTTCTCTCTGTCTTTCCGTTGGACATAGGCCACAGTCTCTTTATTCTCTCTCTCTCTCTCTCTCTCTCTCTCCATACCTCTGTTTAGTTCTTTCTCTCTTTCCCTTTTTCTGTTCTGTCTCTCTCCCTCACTCTCTCAACTTTGACCTGAGACATTCTCCATTCCTCTCCGCTCTCTCTTTCTCTTTTATCTCCCTCAATTTTGAATTTACACACTTCATTCTCTCTTTTCACGCACTTCTTCTGTTTTATCTCAACTTGAATTTAGACACTTCCCTCTTTTTCTACTTTCTCTCCCTCTTTTTAACTTCTCTGTCTCTTAGCTTTGAATCTTTTAAATACATGTTCATGAGGTTTACAAATGTTAGCAGATGTGATTTTTTACTCAGGGTGAATAGAAAGATACAATGACCCAAACAGGTACAAACTGCTATGAAAACTATAAACACAACACAGAGCGCTCACACCTTGCTCAGTGTAGGAGGGATACGAGGTGTATCAACTACCATGCAAAGTCAATTACACTCAAAAACACTTTTAATGGTGCAACATTATCACACACTACCTTTGAGCAAAGTGTCCACTCACTTCTCAGCTTCTTCTACCAGATCCAGGAGTTAAAGTCCAAACAAACGCTGCTGAAATCCATTACAGTCAACTCCAGGTCACTTCTGGTAGTGTGTGTGTGTGTGTCAGTGTGTGTGTGAGAGAGAGACTTTTGCGGCAGATTTGGCCCATCCTTCTCACTAGGAAATCCTGGGCCATCTGGTAAGAGAGAAGGTTGTGGTCAGTTTGGTCTCAATCACCCTCTATTGCCCAAGCCTGGCCAGCAGTCGCTGACTCACAGTCACACCACCTCAGCACCCGACCAGCTGCTAGCCAGACTGACCCCTCTGGGCAAGAGTGCTCAAGTGGGCAAAAAAAGAAAAGGCCACGTTCACATTATCAGGCTGAAGTGGCACAAATCTGATTTTCTGTCCTAATGTGACTCAGATCTGATGTTTTCAGGGCTGTGTGGACACGCAAATCTGATCTTTTCAAATCCTACCTGAGC